TAAGAGTTTCATTTATCAAAGGAAAAATATGAAAATAACTCAAGTCTCTATTACTATTAGTATATTTTTGCGTTTGTAACCATAATGAATGAGCCAACTCAAGTTTGATCCCCTTTAATTTTGAGCAGGTAGTGCCACCTTTTCCTACTGGGTGACACCAATTGAGATGACAACCAATATTTGGTGCGAGATTTGGACTTTCTTGTTTATTGTGCTTTTCTCTTGTGCGTGTTTAAGGTTTGAGTGTGTGCGCGCGCGTATATGTGTAAGTGTGTACTGAAGTTGGCATAGAAGAGTCCCTTGTATAATATTGATGATCATTATTATGTAAAATCAGCTTCCAGAGTCGATGAAGAGCAGTGTAAAATGTTGAACTACACAAGCTATAGGCTCTTTTGGTTACCAAGTTGAATGGAGTTGTTCCAATTAACAGCTTGACTGCAGATTGAAAGCACAGATACAGTCCAGATTTTAGATTTTTCACTCACTCACAAGTCAAAATTGAAATTGAGACTTAAACCAAAAATATTTAAGGTGGGTCCTAATTGGTGAAAAAAACTAAAAGAATGAAAACTCCTTTCCCAAGTACTTAGATCACCCGTCCAATCACTAACACTGGGCAACTAAAATCCAGCGACTCCAAGAAGAAAGCAATTTCCGGTAAAAATCCAACATTGACTGGACCAAGTAGCAGTTAGTAACAAGCATAAAAAATTAGAAACAACTTTGGATTCGTTTCTACATCATTTGGCTTAGGTTTCATACATTTGTTAATCCTCCAATATTGACTCTCAACAAATCAAAAAGTTTCTTTATTTCAATTTTCAATAGTTTCTGTCATTTGCAGCATAAATTTGTCTTCTCACTGACAAAAGACAGCATGACAGCCTCCTATAATCACATACAAAAGCTTCACTCTCTTTGTGGTTCAGTATGTTAGTGGTATCTTCATTAATCCCATAACTCAAAAACCAGAGAGATGCTCACTGAGAACCATGCACCTCTTTTTTCTTGAACCGTTGGTCTTTGGCCAACTGGTTTGCTTAGCCATGGCAAAAACCAATATCACCACCGATCAATTCGCCCCTCTTACTGAAAACAGTCAAATTCCTCATGAATTCGAGTAAGATTCACACGAGAAACCATAAGATGAAATGTCCATATGAAGAGAAAAGAACTTGATCTGAAGAGAGATCTTTTATTAATATGTAATATTTGTACAAAATAATGTGAAACTCTATATTTATATATTTACAATGAACCAGGTCTAATTAAATAAAATGAACCGGGTCTATTAAGGGGGCTGCTTCATCAACTGCAACTTCTTCAAGTGGGCCTCTTCTATATTGGGCATGTGTATTGTTTCATGGGCTCCAACAACCCCCTCAAGCGGGAAGGGGAATCCATTCCAAGCTTGGAGATAAAGGCCCGTTGGCTGCTCCCTAGAAGGGGCTTAGTAAAAATGTCAGCCAGCTGAGAATGAGTAGAAATAGAGCGCAGAGTAATGAGGCCAGCTTTCAAAGCATCCCGAACAAAGTGACAATCCACTTCAATATGCTTAGTACGTTCATGAAAAACAGGATTCTTGGCAATGTGTATGGCAGATTTACTATCACAAAAAACATCAACAGGAACAAGATCTGCCACACCAAGCTCACCCAAAAGTCGAAGGACCCATGAAACCTCAGCAACCAACAACTTGAGTGCCCGGTACTCAGCCTCAGCAGAAGATAGAGCAATTGTGGGTTGTTTCTTAGACTTCCAGGCAATGGGGCAGCCACCAAGAAACACAATAAGGCCACTAACAGACCGACGAGAATCAGCACAGCTTGCGCAATCTGAATCACAGTAACCTTGGAGAGTAAAATCAGGAGAATTACATAACAAGGGTGTGCCAGCCAAGTATCTCAATACATGATAAGCAGCATCCAAATGGCCCAGCCGTGGGGCAGACATGTACTGACTCAAATGTTGAACAGTAAATGATATGTCAGGTCTAGTATGCTGCAAGAAATTTAATTTCCCTACCAACCTTCTATAGACAGATGGATCAGGCAACAATTCCCCAGAATCAGCTGACAACTTAACATAAGGATCTAGGGGAGAAACAACAGGAGTAACAGCAGAACAGTGAAACTCAGAAAGAAGTTCCACAAGGAACTTGTGTTGATTAACCAAAAAACCATTTTCTTGCTTTACAACCTCAAGTCTAAGAAAAAAATGAATTTCACCAAGATCTTTTATCTTAAACTGATCATCTAAAAACTGTTTCAAGGCAGCAATTTCACATAAATCATCTCCAGTCACCAATATATCATCAACATAAACAGCTACTATGGTCAAGGAATTTCCATGCAATTTTCGAAACAAAGAATAGTCATTAACACTAGGATGAAAACCCTTAGACTGAAGAGCCGAAGACAGCTTAGCATACCATTGTCTAAAAGCCTGTCTAAGACTATAGAGGGATTTATTAAGCGTACAGGCTAAAAGAGTAGGAGAATGAGAGGACTGAACAGTCAAACCGGGAGGTATTTTCATAAATACCTCTTCATCAAGATCCCCATGTAGAAAAGCATTGTTAACATCAAGTTGGAAGACTGTCCAATGTCTTTTAGCTGCTATGGACAATAGACATCTAATGGTGGTCAATTTGACCACTAGAGAGAAAGTTTCAGTAAAATCTACTCCTTCCTATTGACTATCCCCTCAAATTACCAATCTAGCCTTGTATCTCTCAATAGAACCATCTGCCCGCTGTTTTATCTTGTAAACCCATTTACAAGGTATAGCTTTCTTCCCTAATGGAAGGGGCATTATAGTCCAGGTGTTATTGGCATCTAAAGCTTGAAACTCCTTCATCATGGCCTCTTGCCAAGCAAGATTAGACACAACTTGATGATAAAATTGAGGCTCCAATAGGCAATTAACATCAGAAGAGGGTAAGACATTAGAACCAGAAATAGAGGTGCATACATAATCATTAGGATAAGCATGAGTTTTGGAAGGCCTACCAGATCTTCTGAGAGGAGGATTAGGATCACATGTTAGGAGTAATAGAAGAAGAAACAGAGGAAGATGTAGAAACAGGAATAGCAGCAGGAATATGACCAGGCACTGGTACATGGTCAGGCATAGAAAAATGAGGGAGTGGAGGAAACAAAGGAGCAGAAGTAGATGCATCAGAATAGGGAAATATGTGTTCGTGGAACACCACATCCCTTGAGTGAAAAATGACCGAGCTGGAGAAGTTGAGCAACCTATAAGCTTTCTTACCAGAACTATATCCAATAAAAACAGATGGAATAGTCCTAGATTAGAACTTAACTCTGTAAGGCTTAGGGACAACTGCAAAACATAAGCACCCAAAAGCTTTCAAATGTGCAAATGAAGGAGAGTAACCAACAACAACTCAAAAGGAGACTTATGTTTAAGTAGAGGTGAAGGAAACCTATTCATGAGGTAGGTGGCAATCAAAACACACTCACCCCAATACTTGAGAGGGAATTTTGATTGAAAGAGGAGTGCCCGGGCAGTTTCAAGCAGGTGTTTGTGTTTCCTCTCCACTTCACCATTTTGTTGTGGTGTATGTGAACAGGAAGTTTGGTGAAGGATACCTTGAGCAGAGAAAAAGGTTTTAGCCTCATTACTTCCTCCCAACTCAAAAGCTTTGTCTGATCGCACAGTTTTAACAGGAGGGGAAAACTGAGTGCTGACCATAGCAATGAAGGATTTCAAAATAGAAAAGGCATTGGATTTAGAGGAAAGCAAGTGGGTCCAAGTGGCTCTAGTAAAGTCATCTACAATGGTCAGAAAATACTTAAAACCATTATAAGTTTGGGTGTGATAGGGTCCCCACAAGTCTACATGAATCAATTGGAAAGGAGTAGTAGAGTGAATGGTGCTTTCAAGAAAGGGTAACCTTTGTTACCTAGCCATGGGACAAATGGAACAAATGAAAGATTGTTTGGGAGGCAATTTATCAGAAAGAAAAGAAATATGCTTCATTTTAGCAAAAGGAGCATATCCTAACCTCAAATGCCATGCATGATCAATAGACAAGGCAGAAGTAGAAATATTAGCACACACAGAAGGATATAAAAGAGAAATGCTCTTATTCTTTATATCAACATTGGCAGTTATGGTATTTATAGAGGAATTAGAAGAAGAAGTATCACAGTCACAAAGATCATTGGGCTGAAGAATGTAGAGACCCTTCTGAAGTCTACCAAGCACCACTGGCTTCTTCATAAAAGGGCCCTGCAACAAAACACATGCATAGGCAGTAAAGAAGGCATTACATTTAAGATGAGCAAGTAGTTGAGATTATAATGAAACGAATGAACAAGTAAGACATTAGGAAGAGAAATGGTTGGGGAAAGATAAAGAGAACCAGTACAATGGACCTTAACTTTGTACCCATTAGGAAGAGTCACAAGGTAAGGCAAAGGTAAGGGCTTAATATCAGTTAGTAAAGATTGGTGAGGGGTCATATGGTTAGTAGCACCAGAGTCTATGATCCAAAAAGTCATCCTCTACTTTAGTAAAATTGCAAACATAAGAAGCACAATTACTGAAAACAAAAGTACCTATCAGACCTGCAAAGTTTGCTGAACCAGATGGAATGTCTTGAGAGGCAGAGGACATTTTGGACTGTTGGAGCAAATTGAGCAGTTGATCATATTGTTCTTTTGTCAAAATGTTGCCCCCAATGTCAAGTGGAATCACCTTGGATCTCTCAGAAGCAGAGTTATCAGTAGCTCCCATGTCAGGTGGATCAAAAATTTGAGCAAATGCAGCTGACCTTTTGAACTTGGAACCAAAACCTGGAGGATACCCATGCAGCTTGTAGCAGTTTTCAATTAGATGCCCAGGCTTCTTACAGTATCGGCACATCAAACTAGAATTCCCCTTCTTAGTAGGATCAAAATTTATCCTTTGAGTGAAAGGCCTTTAAACTCCGGTACTCTCCCTAGTAGTGTCAAATTGCATCCTTCAATTCATAGGTTTCTGAACATTTGTGCTAAAGGAGGCAGATTCTGGACTAAAAACTGAATTTGAACTTCAGCTTGGCTTTCATCCTCAATCAGCATAGCATACACACTGTCAATATCAGGCAAAGGTTTCATTAGAAGAATGTTTCTCCTAACCCCGGTGTAGGTTTCATTTAAACCCATCAGAAATTGATGAACCTTCTGCTCTTCTTCGATCTTCTGAAAGGCCTCTTTACAACTACATGTACAGTCTGGATAAGTGATTGAATAAGTCAACTCATCCCACAGCTTTTTAATGCGACTGAAATAGGAAGCAATGTTAGAGGATCCCTGGGAAATGGAAGCAAGGTCCTTCCTAATTTGAAACACCTTAGTCCCATTCGCTTTCCCATAAAGTTGTTCGATTTCTTTCCAAAGTTTTTGAGCAGATTCTGTATACATCACACTCTCCCTAATTTCAGTCTCTAGACTATTTAGTATCCATGCAGTCACCATGTCATTACAACGGACCCAGGGTTCAAACAACACAGAGTTTTCACTAGGTTTGGGGATTGTCCCATTGATTATCCCCAATTTATTTTTACATGATAATCCAATCAACATGCTTCGTCTCCAACCCCCATAACCCGTGCCATTAAAGGTCTTTGTGACTAAAATTATGCCAGGCGAATCAGACGGGTACAGGTACAAAGGGTGTGACGGTTCAACAGAAGAAGAGATAGTTGAGGTTGAAGAAGTAGTGGCAGTAGTAGTAGACGAATCGTCAATAGGAGCCATTGATAGAAAATTATGCAATTGAAAATTTAGGTTTGAACAAAAAATTAGGGTTTTCACAAAAGTCAGTCAATTTTCACAACACTGATAAGAGCTATAGCTTGAAACAGCAAAACAACTACCAATTGAAAACCGAAACTGAAGGAAAAACACTTAGCTTCGAATCTTCTGTCGAGATCGAAATAAAAACTCAGCAAAAAAAGAAGAACAAATCTGAAGAAATCCCAAAAAATTGACGGAATCAAACTCTAGCTAAACTGAGCGAGGGTACCATCGATCGATGCGGAAACACAAGATCAACAAGCTCCCGAGCTCTGATACCATGAAAACAGTCGAATTCCTCATGAATTCGAGTAAGATTCACACGAGAAACCCTAAGATGAAATGTCCGTATGAATAGAAAAGAACTTGATCTGAAGAGAGAGATCTTTTATTAATATGTAATATCTGTACAAAATAATGTGAAACTCTATATTTATATATTTACAATGAACCGGGTCTAATTAAATAAAATGAACCGGGTCTATTAAGGGGCTGCTTCATCAGTTGCAACTTCTTCAAGTGGGCCTCTTCTATATTGGGCCTGTGTATTGTTTCATGGGCTCCAACACTTACCCTGAAGGCTCAAATCACTTCAGACCCTCAAGGTGTCTTGGCAAAAAATTGGTCTACTTTTATTCTAGTTTGCCACTGGTTTGGAATCACTTGCAGCGCTCGCCACAAGAGAGTAAGTAAAATAGATGTTTCTAACATGGGTGATAGGTATTAGAGGTACCATTCCTAACGAAACAGGAAAACTATCTGTTCTTGTTTCTCATGATACGAGTGGCAACTTTTTGCATGAGGATTTGCCAAAAGAGTTGGTCAATTTATGACGACGAGGCAGCAGCAAACTAGATTATAACAGCTTCAATGGGTAGCTACCATTGTGGTTGGTTTCTTGAATAGGATTCAAATTTTGACTCTAAGAAATAAAGGTTTCTATGGCCCTCGTTTCCAAATTGTCAAGCCTTGAGGTATTGGACCTGTCTTATATTGAAATTCCCGAGGGTGAGACTAACACAACTAATGGACATCGAAAGCAGGTTCTTCCAGCTTCTCAAACAATGCAGTACACTCTGAGAAAGACCACAAGTTCCGCAAATCTTGTCGGACCCTATCTATTGACCAGTAGACTTCACACAAGATCCGGCTCTGTTACTTTTTTCCTAAAATCTTTTTCGAAACAGATGCTGATTAGCAAAAAGAAAAGATGTTGTAGTAGAACTATTTCGCAGTAATGGGTGCACAATTAGCCATTAGGGCTGGGATGAATGCAGTATAGAAGCTATGGGTTTGGCAACACTGCTTTGGCTTAGACACTGTATATGTATTATGAAATCTACTAGCCCATGTAACTCAAATAGTCAGTTGGTACGGTGACATTGCAAACCATAAAGTTTAAATCTTGGATCCGCCCCTAACCAGGGCACCGCTTTAAAATGGTGACATTACATAATGCTTTAATTTCCATCAATATGTTGATCTTTTATAAGAGATACTATACAACAATAGGGGGGAAACTACAAGGTAAAAATTTACTTACTGCGGCAAAACTGAGGCAATTAGTTCAGCTGGCAAGTTTGAAAGCATCAATGAACAGACCATAAGTAAAACCCATCTTAAAATTGTTCAAAAGAGCAATTGGAAAAGTCACTTTAGGCCGACTGTAATAGAAGCGCGTCACATACTCGGTAATTAAGACGCAGACTACAGCAGCAATGACATCATTGACTCCTAAAGCACCAAAAGATAGAGAAATTATCTGAGCCACATAAAATCCACCCAGCAATGATATACCTCCAAATAGTGCCCTCCTTGATGGGCTTTTAAAATAATTTCTTGAAATCTCTGGCACGACACGAATAATATCAACCAGTCGCCGAGGCCCTCCGCCATTATCTTGCAAAGCCTCAACTCTGAATAATGGTCTCGGAATAGATGCTTCATTTGCCCTAGTTAAAGTCCCAATTTTTGGATTAATAATGCCATATCTGGTAAGGGTTGCTGGAGATGTGAAAGCCAGAGAATGTACCATTTTTCATATCTTCTCTGCAATTAAATGAGTCAGCAACTACAAGGCATAAGAACATGAAACCCAATCCTCTGATCAATTAAAAGGAATTTTAGATTCATGACCTCAGAAACACCTAAAAAGCTTTTGTTTTCCTTAAATGCCCCCAACAAAGACGCTAGCAGCACTTTAACTAGAGGAGTTTTTTGTCTTTTCAGGAAAAGAAAAACAACCCGGCTATGGATCTTCCCCTTCTTCCAGGTAGCTTTGTGTTTAACCAAAAAAATGGAATTTTGACTAAAGCTATAATTTAGAAGAACACGGGTTACTGATAATCGCAAGAATGAATAAAAGAAAGCAATTCGGATAGCAAGAATATCAAAAGAAGACCAGTAAACCAAAGTATATTTAGATAATATTTCGTGTCCGTACAATTGATCAGTTATCTCGCTTTTATAGCTTTCTGAGATATGCGTTTTGCCTTTGTCATAATAAGGCTATTATGGGCAGTTTAATGGCATTAAATGCTACGTTACATAATCATTATATTTAAGACAGATTCTCTAATGTTTTTAGCATTTAATGCTTATTAAATACTGTATTTGGACTCTCATGTGTTGCCAGATTCATTCCCTTGATTCTTCTTGATTCTTGAACTTAAATGTTCTTGAATATGTACGGGCGCTGAATCCTTTGAATAATCGCTCGTGCCTCTTCCTTTGCCTTTGCTCGTATCCATTGCTACTCGTGCCTCTTGGCTAGTTGTAATTTTTTGACCATTTGACCAGTCTACGTGTCACGACACGTCATCTCCATACTACTTTAATATGTAAACTCAATTTTTCCCAATACAGATAGTTCCCCCACTTGCCATTTATTCATCAATTGAATATTTGGGTAGTGGATTTTATTAAAACGGGAATTTTTGTCACCATTAATGCTGTGACAGAATTGACGCTTCAATTGTCACTTCCATTTAATGCGTTTCACACGTGTCTCCTTCCTATTAGTTCTGCAGTTTTGCAGCACTTTTTAGGCTTTCTTTTCGGCTTCCCTGTTTACGAAGTGTCAGTTATCATTATTATGGTCCTTCCATCATTACACTTTTCCCTTTGACGGTTGCTTATCAGTATAAATATAATTTCTTTCTTTGTCTTTTACCTCATAAAGTTTATTGAACACTTTATTTCTCAAATCTCTGTTTGTTTCTTCCCCGTATCATCCTTCTTCATTATGTCTTCATCGAACCCTAACCCTAAAAGGGTTTCCATTGTTGATACCTTCCCTAGTGCTCCTAGTAGGGACAGAAGGGGAAGTAGGCACCGTAGTTCGGGATCTGCACGAGGCTCTTCTGTTTTATCTCTTAGTTCTGGTCCTTCTTCTAGAATCAGAGGTTCCCTTTCTAAAAAATCTTCTTCTAGGGGTAAAGAACCTTCTGAACCATTACGCGAGCTTTTAGTAGAAGAGATAGTCCCTACGGAACTATCTTTTTATCATGATAGGGAATCACTTAGGAATCAGATTTCTGCTTTAGATCGTGCTGATGTTTTTCCCACTCAAATTACAGAAATTTTGACTCATGTAGTTCATAAAAACTGCCATTGGAGTGATGACTTTCCCATTATCATCCCTAACCCAAATCAAAGAATTACCTCTTACTTAACCGGGTTTTCTTTTGTTTGTACATACCCTTTCATTTTAGGGTTTAAACCAGCTATTGACCCAGTTATTCTTGAGTTTTGTCGGTTCTTTAATGTTTGTTTGGGTCAAATTGGCCCAATCATATGGAGTGATGTTGCCTGTTTGAGGCATTTAACCAATACAGCTGGTGTTCCCTTTACTTTCCCTCACCTAATTCATCTTTACTCCCCTAGGCTTTTTTGCAATGGTATTTTTACACTAGTAGCCAGGAGTAAGAGGGTTTTGGTGAGCCCTGAGGATGACAAGGACCGTGGCTGGTATGCCCGATTTGTTGCTGCCCCCACTGCTGGTTTAGTGGGTGAAGATAACGTTCCCTTCCCTGAGAAGTGGAATTTTGCACGTAAGTCTTTTATCCTTCTCGTTCCTTTTTCCTTCAAATTTATCAACTTTTCTAATATTGCTTTCCTCTCTTTTTTTTAGCAACCATGGGAATTGTGGAAGATGTTCCCAATTTCCGTGATTGGGTAGACAAGTTACCGAAGACCGCACCAATGGATGGTAGGTCTTGGAAGACACTTTCTAACCGTTTTGGTTGGAAAGTAAAGACTCATGGTAAGAGCTTCTATTTTGTTTCATCTTTCATGCATATATTTCTCTTTATGGCTCTAATTTCAATCATCTTTTTATCAGGATTTGCTATTCGAGGAGTTACTGCCGAGGCAGTTACGGCTTCCCGTGTCTCTTCTGGAACCCATATCTCTTTAGAAAGGGCTCAAGAAATAGTATTGTGTTCCTCGTCGAAGAAAAAAGCCGTTGAAAAAGAAGATTCCGAAGAAGAGGAAGATGGGAGCTCTTTGGTGACAAGGCCACAAGCTCGAAGACGCATAATTTTTGATGACGAAGCAGAAACATCTCCCCGTCGTTCCGTTCCTATTATCGAGTCCATTGTGACCCCGGTAGTAATTCCTGACGACGACATTGACCCTGGTGATACTCGTGAGTCCATTGAATAGCTTTTTATTAGCGGTTTTGATAGTGGGAGTTTAGGGCCTATTTTAAATGAAACACCCCTAGCCTCTTTTTCAACTCCCGTGCATGTGATTCCTTCGTTGCCAACCCCAGCTGTTACTGTTCCTTCCTCAACTGTTCTTACCTCTTCTACCACTCCTCCTTCGATAATTCCTCCTCCAATCTTTCATCATACTGAAGTGGGTTCTTCAAGTAGAAGTGCCGCTATGAGGAGGGTGGTTATTGAAGTTCCTGTTGAGAGCAGCCTTTTGAGGAAATCTGGTCAGGAGGATGTATGGCTAGAGCCTTTAATTGGCCCAATTGAAAAAGAAAAGCTGGAGAGCCATAGTTCCTTGACTCTGATGAATGATATTGTGCATGCTACTTTGAAGGTATTTACCTTCTCTTTTTTTTACTTTGTAATTTTCCTATCTTTTGGATTCTTATTTCCCTTCCCCTTTTCTAGGCCAATCTTATCGGCACAGAAATGATGAAAAGAATTACCTCCTCAGAGAAGATTGCACGTGATTCTCAGATAGAGGCATTCAATTGGAAGGAACAGTACGAAAGCTTGCAAATTGATATGGAATATTTGGAAGAGAGTAAGAGTACCTTGAAGCAACAGGTTCGAGCCTTGACTTCGGAATTGGGGATTGTAAAGGCTTCTTTGAGTCAAGCAGATAAAGAAAGAGCTCGTCTTGAAACTTCCTTCTCAGAGCAGCTATCCAAGGCTAGTGAAGAGAACAGAGAGTTAAGGTTCTCTTGAGTCAAAAAGAAACTTATGCTGGGGAGCTCGTGAAAAGCTTAACTCAAGCACAAGAAGACCTTCGAGTCTCTTCTGATAAGGTGCGTGCTTTAGAAAGCTCCCATGCCTCTCTTCAAACTTCTTACAACTCTGCCTTGGCTGAAAATGATGAGCTCAGGAATGAGATTGCTGATTGGGAAAGGGATTATGAGACCCTTGAAGAAAAATCTGCTATTGAGGCAAGTTGGGCATTTTTGAATTCAGCCGTGATACCCTGATTGAAGCTGGCTAAGAAAATTTCAACTTAGATTCTAAGTTGGCTAAGATCAATGAAACCATTGAGAAAGCTCAGCAAACTCAAGATTTTCCTTCTCCTGTGGCCGAAGCTTCCGTGAATGTTGAAGTTGATATGGGTATCCCAACTCTTCCAAGCCCTGTAGAGCCTGTTGCTGCGAATCAAGCTCAACCCGCAACTGTTGATTCTCCTGCCCAAGTTGAGCCCGTTGCCGTTGATGCACCTTCTACAGTTCCCTCATCTTTCTAGTGATAAATTTAAACTGTTTGAATTCTCTCTTTTTTGCAGGTACCTTTTTGGAAGGTTATGTTTAAAACCCTTGGTTTCGTTTGAGGGTTTGTTTTGGAAAACACAAGTCCCCAGACCTTTCATGGGGCAATTGTATAAACAATTTGCAGCTTTATGACTAAGTTTTTACTTAGTCTTAAGTTTTTTAGTATTTTAGAAGTTTTCTTGTTACTATCTTGAACTTCTATTTAATTCATTCTTGCCTTTATTTCTAAGGACTTATAGAATAATCTGCATTTTTATTGTTTTAGAAAATGCTTCTGCTAACTTCATGAATAACTAAATTAAACATGAATTTTAAAAGAGGGCCCTTTTATATTTCGACACTTAATGAAGAAGACGTCTCAACTTCATAATGGTGTTAACATATGATAAAAGAAATAGGAACATACATGTTTCTTTTGAAATAACATTGACAAGTTTTTATTTGAACTTTGTCTAGTTTTGAATAATACTTTACATGTATTTGAATTACATCTATAACTTTCTCGTAACTGTTTTTCTTGTAACAGATTTTTAAGAAATAATAATAAACACGAGGTTTTCCTTTATAACCCGTTTCAGAATGATAAACACGAGGTTTTTCTTTATAACCCGTTTATAGCTTTTACCCTAACTACAGTAAAGTTTTCTTTGGCCTTGGCTCGTGACTTCTTGACTTTTACTCTGCACTTGACTCTTTCAGGCTTGATTTTTCCTCAATCTTCTTTGCCTTCTTTATATACATGCCCGTGTATATTATGTAGTCCCCCAAGTGTTTGAGTGTTGAAGTATGAAGCCTCGAGCACTTGATTGTTTCTCTCATTTGGTCCTTTTCCTGAAAAGGAAAAAACTTACGGGACTCGGAGGTGCGATTATAGATGAAGACTGCTTAACCCGTTTGTATTTATATCAGAATAATTGTAACCCTAGGCCAGGAATTTTAGTTTATTCCGTGTGCCTTACAGGTCGTGACTCATCATTTAGTACGGGTTAGCTTTTTGCCTATCATCTAAAATCGTTAGTAAAATTTTAACAATTCAAAAATAAACTTTAAAATATGGGTAC